CGACCTGCTATTGAACGTTTGAGAAGAAGATGGAAGAACATACTGAGAAGATGTGATAGATGAGCATGATGCAGTCTCCAAGAGTGCCAGGGAATCCAGGGAGAGATTCTCAGTCCTATGTGCTTTGTGAGATAAATTATACCACTTGTCAACTTAGATATGTTACTGCTGTTTTAGGAGATTTATTTGTAATACTCATTTTTTAAATGTCAAATGAACCTTTCAGAAGGTCAACATGAATCAGAGTTCATGACGCAAAGACCTTAGTACTTATTTGGTTGAGTCAAAATATTGAATAGTTGCTTATTATATAATTAGACCAAGGAAATACCGTTTGATCACTGTTTTCCATAACTTTTCAGTTTTACATTACTTGAATCTTAACGACTATGTGCTATGACTCTATATGTCTACAGTATATAAAATATTCTGTGTTATAAACTATAGTGGGTAGATTTTACTTTTTAAAATGTGTGTACACATTTCTAGATACAGGTAAATTTTTCTCTGATACGAGTAAAATTAAAAGCACTTACTGAGAAAATGAAATCCAATCTGACCATTATGTGCCAAGTGCTAACATCAAGATACCTTTATTCCTCTTTTTCCTTTAATTCACGCCTTGCTCCCCAGGACCATAATGAGAATTTAATTCTGTAAGGTTAGCTAGTCTACTTCGATAATATTTTGAGAGGGAAATCTTTTAGTGGATGTGTTCTAAACAGGATATCATATCACAGCTTGATAATCCTCCCTTCCTCAGGAACACTTCCCCAGGAATTGGTGTTAGTCATTCACAATAGATACTTTTGTATTCTTTACAGATAATATGTGTTTCTATGGCCAGTCTGAAGAACCCAGAAACAGAGAGTATTACTTTATACATTCTCTTATGAAATGTGTTTAATATTTATTGGACCTACATATTACCACAGGAAAGTGCTATTAATCAGTTTTAACTAAGCCCTTTTTGTTTAAATTATACTTATCCACAAAGTGCACCTACCATATATCCCTCCCTTCTCCCTGTGCTGGGGATCAAATCCAAGCCTTGCCCATGCTAGGCAAGCTCTGTATCTATGCACTACACTGCCAACCCTTTGAATCTTTAAATAGCTTATAATGTTTCATAATTCTTATTCACAGAATCACTGCCTAAATTCTTTCCTTTACCAAACCCAGTATAGTTATATTCCTTTATTAATGAGGATCATTGCATAGATACATTTTCAAGTCTTTATCAAGCATCTAATAAGTCCAGAGCTGTGCAAAGCACTTCAGAGGCTGTGGAGGACACACTAGAGATGACGGCTGATGTGAAGAGTTTGAAATCTAAAGGCAAAGACTGCATTTCTGAAATAACCAGAGAAAACACTACAAACAGGCAAAACTGATTGATAAGAGGCAGAGCCTGAATGTGGCCTATTCCATAAAGGCTACATCAAAGACAGTTTCATCTGAGCTTTGAGATAGTGAAAATAAGATGTGACCTTTAACCTTGGGCTGGAAGGATTCGCCAATGGACAGATATCCAGAATAACAAAGCCCTGGCCAAAGAACATGGACTAAGTGTTCTGAAACTGAGATTTTTAAGGCACATTACATTAAAAATTCTACAGTTCTGTTTTCTTAGCTAGAATGTACCCATTAAAAGTGAATTCATGCGACCCACTATGATTATTGTTAACCATTAAAAAGTTAATTGTTTTCAACCTTTTTATAATGAAAAATGAAGACATAGTTTAAAATCTGGGATTATGATCTCAAGGGTGTGGTTAGCACAGTCTGCTATACTCTGAATTCTTGAAAAGATTGAAGACTGATTGATTGCATAAAGAAACTTATTTTTTGTCCAATGTCTCTAAAGGAAGGGATCTGCTCTTACAATGTCTTTCATTTGTGGTTTCTGACTCTACTGTACTAGATGAAGTCATGTTTTTATATTATAGACTGTTTTAAATCTGCATAACTAATAAAAAGAACAGCTGTGCTAATAGCTCTTCCTCTCAAACAAGAATCTAAAGTGAAACATTTGACACAACAATACAATATACCTTTTGTGTAAATTTGTCAGTTTTAACAACGATATTTAATTTGCCACCCTTTTGCTGTCATTGTTGCCAAGCTGTATGTAGAGTGGGAACAGGGAAATATTCTGTGATTCTCAGTTCAATAGGTGGGAGGGAGCCCCTTGCTACAGTCAGTTATGTCCAGGTACGTGGTGCCTGGTATCGATCACAGCGTAGATGGCCGAAAAGCAACAAGGAAGGTAGAAGAGTGCTTCCCACACTGGCTCCAAGCCGTGTGTATATGAGCAGAAGGCTGCAGCGTTGTACCTCTCTCATTCATTTGAGAATTGAAAGAGAAAAAAAGTTAATCTTTATAATTATTGTTAGGAAAATATCAATGTTTATGTCTGTTAAAGGACCAGAAAATGGTGACTATAATTAGAAAATTGTTACCAGAAAAAGATTGCCTACTCTTAAGAAGAAATGACATTTGAAGTTTATTTTATACTGAAAAGCCAAGAAAAAAGATTTAAAATTTCTCTTTGGAATTTTGAATAAATGCATTTGACTGATACTCTGACAGAAGTGGTTATTAATAATTTAGAATTAGTCCCTTCTTTGTTATCTAAGAGTAATGTAGAAGGAAGGACTTGTGTTTATCTTTGCATTTGTATTTTATAGATGCTTCACTCAAGATCAAAGTGCGGGTAAATTCTTTATCCATGTGGCATTCTGAAACATCCAAGTGATGAAAACTTCTTTTCTAAAATTTTCCATCTTTGTGAAAACTGCCTAACAATTTTGATAATAAGAGAATACAAAATAATCGTGGGGTTGTTTTGATGATAATGTAATCTGTTACCTAAAAATATAAAAGCTTACTTTTTCTTTTATATGAACTCAAAAAAGTAATTTTCTATGGATGACCTTTGTCTTTAACATTTGTATGTGTTTATATTCATAGAAACTTCAAAGGTAAATGCTCAAATTTTCTTTCAATTTATTCTTTACACAAATAAAACTTCCTCATTTAAATTTATGCTTATTAAATGGACTCATGTTTCATTCTTTTGAGAAAACTACAAATGCTTTTGGCCATTTTATTCTAACTTTAAGAGAAATATAAAAATCAGGTGTGACAAATAATGTGAAATGATTTCAACTCAGTAAGTTTCTTAGAATATTTTCAAGTCTTTTTTTTGTTAAGCATTCCCCAAGTTGCTTAATATAGGAAAAATATCTCAGTCTGAAACAAATGTGTGTTTTCACTGAAATAAAGGGAAAAAATGATATGATTCCTCTTCCTTTGCTACATGACAGGAAGAGACGAAATAAATTGAAGGGTTAAACAGACATGATCTGCTTGGGTATTATTTTTTTAAATACACATATATAAATATATACATAATTTCTTTGTGGCTTGAACAATAACGTTTAATCCTTTAAAATCCTCTGAAATATGTTTGTAATATCATATAAATACCTGTTGTTTTTCTTTACACTTTAAGCAAGTATAAATGTCTGTTAACACTTAGGAGGCATCAGTATCAACCTTTTGGCAAGATTTCTGTAATGTTAAATAATCTCCTACCCATATTTTCCTATCTGAAGATTGAAAGTAAGTTAGCAAGCATAATTTGGGTAGAAGAGTTTACTTTCTGGAGTTATGCATCTAAATAATACTAAATTAAAGGAATTACCTGAAGTTATTTGTAAAATTCCACTTAGATTACAAAAGTTGGATTTCTATTTTGGTGACTTGTAGCTTTATTTGTAAATTGCATAGTAAAGTTTTCTCTTAGAATTCAATCACTGTTAAGTGTTTCTCAGTCTCTCATGTTTTAAGCAACACTCTTAAAAGTGATGTATTTTGGGAATGTCCTCAGTAGATACATGGCATAAGAGAAATTAGTGATCTAGAAGGCAAAATCCAAAACCCCCAAACACAAACAAAAGGCTCTCGGTTTTATTCTTGTACTACTTACTTGGTACATTGGAATCTTTTCCAAAATTACAAACTGATTCTGAACCGAATTTTTTCTCTCACTAGTGCCTAGGCAGGCTGCCTTCTTATGTCAGGAAACGAGGTAGCAGTATGGTATGTAGTGTCTTGGCTTCATCCCTTCAATAGGTAGAGCACCTGCTCTGAACTTCAGTTTACTTATCTGTGTGACAGTGAGGATTTGATGAGGACCAGATGAGTTTGTGCCTGTGCTCGGCTGGCTTACATGATTCCCAAGACGTGATGACTGTATAAGTTATTTTCTTATTTGTTATAATAATTCTAATTTTAATATTAAGGAAAATTATAATTGTTATTACTAATCATTGCATTTCTTTATCAGCCAAATGAGTAGTGCCTGTATTTCCCTTCCTACCATGAAAACTGTATTGTACTATTTTATTTAAAAGTAGGGGAATCACCATATTTTTAAGTCTTGCCCTTATGTAAAGGTAGTCAAGCTTGACACTTAATGTTATTATTGCTAATTCATAGTAATAAACTTTAGTCTTTGGGTAAAAGAGTAATTACTGTGTGATGTACACAGGCTTGTCATCTTTCTGTTAACTATTACCAGAATTTGATGTTTCTTCAGTAATTCCAATTCACTATTTATATTTACAGAATCTAGAGTTAAAAGTCCTCATATGTAATTCCTTTTCTTATTCTGAGCAGAGTGACTTAAAATCAGGCTTCAGTGAACAGACAGTGTAGTATGTCTAATGGTATTTATGTTGCTTTCTTTTCTACTAGGGAGAGTAACTTGATGTTGTAAAGATTATTTTCAGGTTATTTGTTGATTTTATATAAGAAACTTAAGAAAGTAGGAAATAATCCAGTTTTTTTTTGCCCACAGCATTAATATGTAGTAAATGCACTGATTTGAATCTTGTACTTTCTTTTCCTCTCAGAAGAAATTGTGCATTTTTTAAAACCAAACTACTCAATCTTGATATCCTCATAGTAATCATGTTTTCCTTCCATTTCAGTTTAGACTTGGTTCCTTCAACCTAGAGAAAGTTGCAAACCCAGCTGAGGCCATTAGAGAATTTATTTGTTACTGCTTGGACAGCATCGCAGAAAACAAAGCCAAAAATGAGCACCTGCAGAAAGAGAATGAAAGACTCCTGAGAGACTGGAATGCGGTCCAGGAACGGTGAGTACCCATGTGCTCACATTAGGAGAGCCCCGAGTGCACTTCATATGAGTAGGCCCAAGTGAGCGGTTTCTGCATCTGTGATACGTGTGGACCAGCCTCTATTAAAATAAAAGCTATTATTTGTACCTTTCTTGATATTATTAAAAGTTACTAGTGACTATTGCACATGATGAGAGTGTATCAACAATTATGAGTTATTCAGTATTTAGTAGCAATAACAGACTTAAGAAAAATAAGTAATTGGGCATTAAGTATCTGAACCCCATTATTGTAATATTAATCAAAAATTTAAGTAGTGAGGGTAGGTGTGTGGGAGATGAGCAGTGTAGGTACTTGACATAAATGATGCCCTGTGAAATATAAGTGGATATAATTGACTTCTAACTTGGAGTCAATGAATGGCAGCTACATTAAATGATGTTTGTTTTAGCTTTAACAAGAGACTTATTTCTCCTGATTGATTGTAAATTCATACTACAAGCACTTGTAAAAGATAAAATAATTGTGGCTACTGGATAAAACTATTTTGCTGACTTTGCCCCTCATTTTTTAAGTGATGAAGAAAAAAGCTACATAGCGTCTCAAAAATGAACTTTCTCAAATAAACCATCCTCTAAGCTAGCCTAATGTATAATTTGCACTGTTCTATTATGGAAAAGATGTTTGAAGAAAATAAAATGTATGTTGTGAACTCTTCTATCCCAACCGAGACTGTGTGATATGCTTACGTTTGTGTGTGTATAGTAACTCTTGCCATAATTATGTGATCTATGTATAATAATGGTAACAAATGATTGCATCCAGTAGATTTTTATTCTTTTATGTAAGCTATTTGCTCTCGAGCATAAGAACACATACCTTATTTCGAATCTTTGTATGGCAAGCATTGTGATTGCTCTCTATATAGGACATTAATAAAGGAACAGGTGAAGCAAAGCAAAGGGTTTTATAGCAATTCATGTATGTATGCCACAATGAAAGAAAGAAATTATTTTTCTGGACATTCAATAGAATTCATTAATTAGTGCAAATCATGTAAAATTCAGTTGCTAATACCTGGTTATATTTAGTTTTCATTTATTTTATGAATGAAGTATTTATCTTGTCTTTTGCTTTAAATTAATTTTACCTCAAATTTTATGTAATAATACGTAAATAATACAAAAATGAGGCCCCGTCAAAGTTTATATATTATGATGCCATGTAGAAATTTGATTTTTTCCTTTTGCTTCTGTTTCATATGAATCTGGATCAAATTTACACACTGCAAAGCATTTTTCAGGCTTATTTTTGAGTTTGGGTATATTTTTCTATTTTATAAATTAAATGCATCAAATTAAAGGAAATGCACTGTGATCGTGATAAGCCATTATATTTTTATATTTAAAACTCAAAATATTCTCCTGATGGTAGGACAACTGATCCACACATTGCCCACAGAAACGCAGACTGGGTGCTTGGTACTTGAACAAATTGCTCTAAAATGCCTGCCAGAGGTTGAAAGAGGTATTGTCTCATCAGTATTCAGCAGCACTACCCTGGAACTGAAAGCAGCAGGGGAGGAAGACAAAGCAGGGAAACAATCGCACCTTGTGCTGGAAGCAGCACCCGAGAGGGATGCATAGATTGTGTGGACCACAGATGTTTGACTTGCTCTTTCTGAACTGCCAGGAAAGGCTTTTGTCTCATTGTGGCTAGAGATTTCCCTGTGTCCTGTCGCTACCGTGCTGTGCTGCTGCAGCTGTCTCCCTCGGTGGTGGTTTTCCTGCTGACTCGCATGGCATGTGTTCTGCAGGCTCTGACGATGTGTGACACTGAGGTGATGCTTCCGACAAAGCAGAGAGAGGCTGCTCTGGAGCGTCCAGCCTCTTGTTTGTGCTTGGAGGTTAGATAAGCAGTTTTATGTATTTCCCAAATGAGCTTTTCTCTCCTCTGTGAGGAGAAAATGGGCACACTAAGGTGCTATAAATACATCTTGGTCCTGGCCAAGCAGGACTTTCCTCCTGTGCCCTCCCTCGAGTCTTACTTCCCTGGGAAATAAGCAAAAGAGTAACAGCTCCAGGTTCCATGAGGCAGTAGTATTGACTGATAGTGTTTGGAGCAGTGATGGCGAACCTTTTAGGGACCGAGTGCCCAAATTACAACCCAACACAAAGTGCCAACACTGCAATTAAACCTGAAGGTCCAGGTGCTGGGGCAACTTGGCTGGCATGCTGGCAGAGAGGGCTCTGTGTGCCTGCTGCGGCATGCGTGCCATAGGTTCACCACCACTGCTTTAGAGAGTTCAGAAATCGGACATGTGTGTAGCAAGTTAGGTAACTGGGGACATAGACTCTTGAGAATGACTAGGTTTGGGGCCATGATGCCAAGCCCAGCCCCAGTTTAGTTTTCAGGGCAGATTGCTCTCTGTCAGTGTCTACCCATGATCCATCACTTCTTCCCCACAATGTTCCAACTGCACGTGGAGGGCAGGTGACATTACAGAGGGAAGGACACAGAGAGATAGGAATTCCCTAGTAGCCAAGGGTCTGGCATATATTTAATGCCAAATAGAATATACTAGTAACAAAATCTATTCATGTAGACACTTGCTGATTAACATGGAAAATGTATACAATCCATTAAGGGGAGACATGTGCACTACCAAAAAATATGAATACTAGCCCCTTGTTTGCAAAATGTACTATGCTGTGTGTTTATATGAGAGAAACTAGAAGGAGGAAATGAAGTGTTAATAATGTACGTAGTGTATTTCTGGAGTTGTGGATACTTTTTCCTTTACTTTTTATGGATCTTTTTTTCATGTACTTTGGTATTTGAATATAGGTCACTATTTTGATCAGAGCCAACTAGAAAGATATTTCCATTTGGAATGATAGTGAGGAATAAATAAGGCTTGGATGGGAATAAGGAATTCTAGCATTAGTAAATAGTAAGCTTTAATGCATAGACTTTAACAGGTGTATTTGCTATTATTTGTAGTTAGTTACTATGTAGTAATTATGGTTTTGCTCCGTTTTGAACAAGTGGCATTACTGGATTAATTTTGTGCAATTTATACAAAGTAAGAAACATTAGGGACCTTGTATATGAATAGCCAGGTTATTAGCTATATTTATGTCACTAGGGTTTCCTACTTAATTTCAAATAACAGCTCTCAAGCTCCATGTTACTGAATAGGTCTTTTGTTTGCTCTCAGACCCCACTTTAGAAATTCTCTGGCTTTATTCTGAGTTATAGTTATTAAACCCATAATTGGAGGCAGTTTTCAGTGAATTGACACTCAAGGAATCATTAGAAGACCTTGAAAGCTCTTTCACTTTGTCTTTCTGCCTTTGAGATAGAATCATATTATCGCCAGATGAATTCAGTCCGATTTTTTAAAGAGCTCAAGAGATAGCGTCATGCCTCGTTGTAGCCCTTTAGTGTTCAGGAGCAGTCACAGCCAGAAATCTTCGCTTCCACCTACTGTAATCTGAATCCTTCATGGCATAGTTGAAGGCCATTTCCTCTTGTTCTGTCATCAGAAAGGATGAGAAACAGCTGTTCACCATCTTCTTCATGGCTCACAGCCTTATTAAATCTTCACCACTGCTTTCTTTGCCAGTTCTTTTTGGTATTCTTTGGCCTCTCAACTCTGCTAAGATTTTCTTCTGCTATACAACCCTGACCTAGATCTGAATTTGGCCAGGCGTGACTATTAATATCATGATTACTTCACTGTTTTTGTAACATATGTTCACATTTATGTATCTATTGTTTTGTTTTGGGCTTTCATTTAATGTATCATTTTATTTAGAGTTTTATTTCTGCATGAGATTGCTTTGTCTCTGCTCTTATTTTTTTGTTACTGTTTTTGATGCTTTTCTTGTTTTGCCACCCCAAAATATTTTATTAATATTCATTATTTTCCTTTTCTTAGTTTTTTTATCTCTTTAAAAATTATCGTCTTCTGTCTGAGGCTCTTGGTACCTTGCTGTTAAGGTTACTAATGAAACTGTTGTCATAGTGACTGATGAAAGGATGAAGTGTCACCAGGCCCTTCCTGTTGTCTGTTATTTATGGCCTCATCCAGTTTGCTGTGGCGGTGATCTTTGGACTAATTGTAGTCTGCTCTAGGTGCTACTGTTAGTGGTACGAGCTTACTTTAGTGTCACTAGACTTAGCAGTGGATCCTCTGTCTCTCCCCAAATAAATGGTCTCATCTAATAATTCCTGCCCAGATCTGGAGGCATAGGTCTTGCAGGAAGGCAAGGTAACAAACATCGTAATGTTCCAGAAGAGGACTGGCATTAGATAAGGTGGGGCAGATTCTGTGTGTATCCTAGAGACTGGATAGTGAATGAACACATACCATCCTTTAAGTCTGTTAAGACTGTGGTAGGAGTAAACTCGTGCGCTGTCACTGCTAACTCTCTCTCTCTCTCAGCCAGCCACCGCTCTCAACTCCTCTGAGAAGTGTTGTCCATTCTGGTGCTTAGAAGTTTGATTACAAAAAGATACTAAAGACTTGCTAAAACCAAGCGTGCTTAACTCACCTGATATTGCTCTGTTACTTTTTTTTTCCATCACAGAAATTATGGTATCTTCGACAGTGTAGTTTTGATACTGGTAATTAGGTTAATATGTTTTAGGCAAATTATATGACATTTTATTTTGATATTTTAAATATTAGTATGCTATAAAATGTTAACTTTAATAAAGCTTTAAGAATTAACTTGATATGTGATATGTGTGCATAATCTTTCAATCAAGAATTTTTGAAGTGATTTTTATGGAAATTCAATGTGGATTTTAATCATTAATTATTAATTGGCTGTCATTTCTAAAAATTTATTTAAGGTGGTATAATATTATACAAGATTCTTATTGTATGTTTTCTGTGCAGTTTTTACTTTGGACATGCTTGAGTTTTCTAATATATAATGATGTATTTTGGTGTTGTGTATGTGTGTTCTATTCGCACATTTAAACTTTGTATTACAGCCAAGAACGCTGCATGGAGATGAAAACATGCGTATGTAACACCTTGTATCTGAAACATAAATGCAGGTACATTTCCCTGCTTAAAATAAGCATCGGCATTCGCAGTACCTCTTCCCTCTGGGGCCTATTTTTTCTAAATTTTTTGAGGTAGTTCTTTTCCAGAGAGCTTTGCTTGATGAAAGAAATGCTGTTATATTGATTTTTTCTAACAAACTTTTAGAAAAGCCAACGAAGGTGAGAAGCATTGTTGTGAGATGAGTCGTGTCGAGTGAGCGGAGAGTCATCCAGTCCTGGAGGGCACAGCAGCACTGCAGGTGACAGTGGACACAGAGGCCATGTTAGGGTCACGGGAATAGAGCGGAGCTGGAAAATCACCGTGGCCTAACGATGTGGCTGTCCTAGCATGGCGACGCACTGGATTCTCCACAGATTTGTGGTGATGCTGCTGTAAACAAACCTGCTGTGAGGCCCGTTGTTCAAAGTGCAGCACAGTCATATAGACCAAGCACACAGTACTAGATGATGGTAGTAAACAACTGATTACTCTGTTTGATGCATTACACTTTTTATTACTACTTTAAAGTGTATGTTTTCTGCTCCTAAAACCAAGAAAGGTTCTGTAAATCTGTATATACTGTGTTACACCAGCAGCATGCTTGTGTGTCTCATATTTAGTATCTCTTGATTGCACGAAGTAGCCATGTCCAGTGATTGACCTATCTGGGGATGGCGAGCCTTTTAGAGCTTTCGATGGTAACAAACAGCCAGCTGCGGCATGCATGCCATAGATTCGCCAAACACTGACCTATACCATCTAGGTTTGTGTCATTATACTCTATGGTGGTTGTACAAAACCAAAATTGCCTAAATGATGCATTTCTCAAAAGGTGTTCCCTTTGTTAAATGACATATGACCATGTTCAGAATAACTGGCTTTCCGTTTCCATATAAGATAGTCATTTTAGACTTTTCGCTCAGCCGTTTTCCTGCAGAGGAAGGACGGTGTCCAGCTGGAATGGCGTGATCCTTAAGATCCACTTCTGCAAGGACTGGCAGTGGTCCAAGGCCATGTGGTTCAAACTGCTGGCCCGGAAGGTGTGCAGATCCAAGACTCAGCAATCCAGAGTACAAAGCATGGCTCTGCTTGCTGCCTGTGGATGCCTTCAGCTCACAGTAATATGCCCTGTACTGAAGTATCAGCCCACCACACACACTGGCAGGGGTCTCCGTGTGGAAGAGTTGAGAGTGGCAGGCATCAACTTCTTAAGAAGGTGGCCCCAACCACTGGTCTCTCTAGGCATCCAAGGAGGTGGGACAAGTCCACTGAGTCCCTGCAGACCCCTGTGCAGGAACCCAGTTCTTCTGCACTTACAGTGACTGCCAAGCTGACAGGACGAGTGATGCCCATAGGGAACATCCACAAGAAGGCCAGAGTCATTACCAAGGGGAAGAACTTCAGGGCATCTGTCAGTCTGTGTGTGGCCGTAGACAGTGCCCAGCAACTGGCACCTTAGCAAAAGAGTCAAGGAAACTTTGTAACAGGGTATTGAAACAAAATAAAGTTCTCTCAGAGTCATGGAATACATCAGCAGTAAGGTGGAAAAAATCAGTGCATATTAACTCACTCACTTTATTATTTATCCAATAAATATCTACTAATGATCTGTTGGCTACCACACACTCTGCTAGGCACTGAGGCCAAAGCAACCAGTAAAACACACCACATGCTCTCTGCTCTCACAGAGTTCTCAAGCTTAGCCAAAGGTCTGCTGGGGAAGTTTGTTGTGCTTGGTTCCAGATGTGCACTATTATCCTATTAGAAATTCTCTGCATCTCTACACAAGTATGTTAGGTATTATATGAAAAGTGCCACGTTTTAACATTTTTGTTTCTAATTATCCAATGTAATATGTGTGTATTCACACATACTGCTACTGATGTATAGGTTTGAATAGATAGATAGATACACCTATGTAGAAAAGCAGAAGTATAAACAAGCAGTATTGTAGGAAGAAAGCCAGATGGAAATAGATCATATTTTAAAGAATATTTTACATGAAATAATTTATATTTAAATCTATTTAATAGGAATTTATTTATGGTATATACATGTACACCTACATCAAGTATATTTACCTTCTGCTGGTTTGTTTTTTCTACCATATATAACTCTTGGGAGACTAAAATAAATACATTGCAATCTTCTATTAGTTCACATGAGCATTGTAGAAAAATTATAATAGAGAATTTTATAAATTTTGTCTCAATTTTATCTTATTTTATAAAATTGAAGACATACCTTGTTTTACATTTGGTCTTTTATTAGTATCTCCTTGGAAATATCAAGTAGAATTCTTTAATCATATATGTGTGTGTATGTTTTGTTTTGTTTTGCTTTGTTTTGTTTTGGTACCAGGGATCTAACTCGGGTCCTTGTGCTTGCGCAGCAGGCGGCGAAACCACTGAGCTAAATCCCTGGCGTGTGTATGTTTTTATGAATATTTGTGTATATGTGGTTATGGGTTATAGAGATATAATTTCATAAGTCATGTTCTTCGTGTGGAGTAGTTTATAGCCTAATAGGAAAATCAAACCAGTTAAGTTTATCACTTTATCACAAACCAAATCCTGGTTCCTATTTCATAATATTAATTAAGTACTGATACAACAGGCAACATTTGTGTTTTTGAAATTCCTCATATGCAAACATTCTTTTGTAATGAACCAAAGATGTGAATTAATTATTACATTTAGGCATTCCAATTTTTTAAAGTTTTATTTTTACTAGTTTCAATTTTAATCTTTATTTCAGTATATAAATTATGAATACTAATGAGCAATAATTTTTGAGAATTTATTTAGCTGTCTCTAAAACTTTTAAGTCAGTTAAGGCATTTATACAAAATGATCTTAATTCTACTTTCCTTGAAATATTTCTTGAAATCCTCTTGTGCATTATACTGAATCGAATTAATGTTTAGAAAAACTAAATGACTTGTCTAATTTTTTTAGATTTGAAAAATGTGTGAATGCCAAAGAAGGCTTGGAGATTGATCTTTACAAGAGGTTTGTTCTGGTGTTGAATGAGAAGAAATCAAAGATCAGAAGCTTGCATAAATTGTTAAATGAAGTTCAAGAACTGGAAAAGAATATGCCGCATGAAAGGTATCACTTGGTTTTGGATGGCAAATGCATACATATAAGTAGAATTTCTTCAAAAACTTCATGAAAGTTAGGTACCAACTTTTAATACCATGAGATAATTTGCTGGGCTGGGTCTGACAGTCTGACTGAGTCTGGGATGAAATGGGATAGAGTACTCTCATGGAGATCTTCCATATCTGCCCTCTGTCTCACCTACATTTATAAAGCCAGCAGGAGGCTTATCGAAGTATTATTTAATTAATTTTGAAATACCACTAAAAAAGAAACATTAATTAAATTCTTTCATCTATCACTGAAGAGTTCCGTGCACATCTGTAATGTTGATGGGTGAGTCACGGTTCCCTCTAGAATCAGGTGATAAAGATTAACTTTCGGGAAGCATTACTGATGTTATCTGAGCATGTGGTCCTCTCTCTTCATTCTGACAAATTTTCTGTGAGACTGGAGGTGCACTTGATTCCTAAGGGAAAATTACAGGTGACAAGTGGCTGGTGGCTTCAAACACAATTTTTAAGCTTAAGCAAATATACAAGATTAGAATCTATTTCCCTGAACCTGAGAAGAAGCACAGGTTTGCTAATTGCAAAGTCTAAGAAACATAATGTTTGATGTCAACTGGTCCAGATACTGATCTGGCCCTGATGATTATTAGTACGTTACATTGGGCAGGTCCTTTAGTCTCTCTGTGTCTCCCTTTTGGGACAAGCAAATGGAATTGGGAACTGGTTTGGGATTATTAAAATATCAAACACTTTGTGACCCATAGACAATCTGGTAGAACAGTATTTGATATAAAAATAATAAGTGATAAACTCATTTAGGGAATAATTATAGTGCACATTTACCAACATCCAGATTGTTAGATAAAAGAGAAACTTGTTCTTAGGAGTGTTCATATACAGCCTATAAAGTGGTTTTATCTGAATCATACATATTTCACTATGTGTTTATCTAATTAGGACCTTTGTACAGGAATATTTTCTACAAATAATTAGAGGTAAATCTGATATCTGACCAAGTGTCAGCCACTGATTTTCAATTCCTCCTTTCTATTTCTAGAGAAGCTACAGCCAGCTGTGAAATCCCAGCTGCCCAAGATCCCATCTATGATGAAAGTACCGATGAGGAAAGTGGAGACAGGTCTGAGGCCTCTGTGTCAGCTCCCGGTGAGAAAAATAGGTTTGTTTTCTTGGTTGAATATTACATAGGCTTATTATGCTATTGATGAGAAGCCATAATGAAAATTACTGTGATAAAAAGGTCTTCTACAGGGCCAGGGATTTAGCTCAGTGGTGCCGCCACCTGCCGCACAAGTGCAGAACCTGAGTTCGATCCCTGGTACCAAAAACAAGAGATCTTCTCTAAGATTTTTGGTGTAAACCCTCAAATAAAAATTGTTTATTGTAAAATGCAGTAGTTTGTTAGCAACAAGGCAAGCAAGATGCATACACACACATACACACACATGCACACACATACCAGGGTATACTGTGCCTCATTAAGCAAGGATGCATGAGCATAGTGTACACCTTCATGCTCAGTGTCACCAGCTCAAAGCTGGTTGCTTTCAGCATTTAAATTCCTGTCTAAGGCAACAGATGGGCCACTGTAGCAGGCTCATCCAGAAAGGGTTAAATGACCCTCAAATGGAGCCCTCCTCCTTCTCTTCAGGAAAAGGCTTGCCCTGGGGTCAGATGAGGTAGAGGAGAAGAGAAGCAGAAGTGGCAGTTCAGTGTGATTTGCTGCGTCTTAGTCCTGCAGATAATGTGTCTAAATCATGGGTTATTTTAGGGAGTTTCATAGATTTCTGAGGGTTAGTAGAAGCAAGGTCCCTTGAACTCATTTAATACCTAGAAGGTTTTGACCAAAAGCCAATTATTATACATAAAAAAAAATGTATTCATTCATTTAGAAAATAATTGTGAGTGACTGTTAGGTGCCAGGAAATTTTCTGGGCAGTACTGAGCAAAATGCAGAATGAGTCAATGTGGAAGTTAAATTCTATTCTGGACAGAATGTCAGGACGGGATTAGGGAACAGAAGCATGGTATTAGCAGGGGGTCCTGGAAAAGAAGGCAAGTCTAGCTGGGGGAAAAGCATACCAGGCAGGAAACAAACACAAAGAAAGAAAATTTTGAAGATCATTGAAATACAGAGCCTCTGATGTGTTGAAGCTGTAACACAGATGAAGTAGCATGAAGGTTGGAGAGCGAGGAGATGGGATCAGAGAGGCAATGGGCCTTGTCTCGTGCAGGGCCTTGGATACATTGTTAGGACCTCAGCTTTTACTGAGATTGCTGGCTGTTGGAGCATCTGAAACCGCCAAGTGACTCCCCTCTCAGCAGCAGCCTGACTACTCTGTTAGGAATAGAATGTGGGACGGCAGTGCTGAGGAATATGTACTAGACAGGAGAAGAGTCCACAGCAGGGTGGAGGATGAGTGGAGCTTAGGTCTGGGCGACAGGGCAATGAGCAGTGAGCAGGATCTGTTTAGACAGCAGGTTTACGAGAGCGATTACTACAAAAGAAGACAGAGAGGCCTTCTACCAAGGGGTAGGGGTAGGAGCAGTACTGAAATGCGGTGTCCTGGTAGCCCAGTGACGAAAGTGTCTGAAGGAGTGGACGGTGCACAAGGGAGTGGAATCTGGCTAACGGGGCCAGGGAGAGAAGACTCGGGAACTGTCAGATGGGACAAGGTCAGCATCCTGGGCACCTTAGTGGAAGGTTTTGGTGAGATGGCAGAGGACAGGAGGCAGGAGGGCTGCAAAGGGAATGAAAGGAGAGAACTGGAGATGAGACTTCTCGTCTAGGCACCACTTCAGCAAGGTTACTGCGGCGAAAAGAAAGACATGGGGAGCAGCTGCAGGGAAGCAGGGAGAGGGAGGTTTGGGTTTTGTTTCTAGAGGGAAGAAATGATGTTTTTATGGTGATGAGAGGGAATAAAGAGAGGGCGGGTGCACAACAGCAAGGCAGTAGAGAGAGGAAGAGTTGCTGGAATTGTGTCTCTGAGTAGATCTGAGGGGAGAAGAACCGCAGACAAGTAGAGGAGGAGTTAGGGTGAGAGCATGGTGCTTCCTACCATGTAAAATAAACAGACGAGGACAGAAGATAACTGGCTGTGCTCAGGAAACGGACTGAGACCCATTAAACCAGTTCATTGACTATTGTGATTCTAAGCAGATTTAACTTGGGTCACACAACCACACTCAGACACACACACACACTTTTGCCTATGAGAATTAAATTTCTTCTCATTTGTAGGTTGTGCTTGTTTTACATTTCACCCCACTTGAAATGAAATGAATTTTAAAATAATCAAATGTAGTCAAAAGCTCAGAAAGAAAGAGACCTGTACTCTTTCCAGTTTAGGCTGTCAGAAGTTTTATTAAGTTCAGTGGCCTTTGATTTAGATCCTTATCCAGAGTATCTCTCCAACATTTAAAGTAGCTGAAAATGATTGTTGAAAAGAAAATGTATGATTAAAAATGAGTATATGAGAAGGAGGTCTTTTATGTGTTCAGTCTATTTTGAGCGAAGCTTTAAGCTGTAATTGTACTATTATAAATTTGGCAGAATTTTTCTCCTCTGAATTTGTTCTGTATGTTTCCTGTATTTTCCTTGTCGTTATTTCTTTACCTCATATCTAGTTTACTGTGTATTTGATACATACATCTCTGGTTCTGATTTTTAGTTTTTGCATTTTGCTTGCTTTTGGCAAGTTTTTGATGTCAGGAATTAAGAGTGATTATATTAGAAGTTTAATCTATTTCTTTTCTTCAGCATGAGAAAGAAATATTCAGGAAGCTGATGTATGCAAAGACGCAAAGTAAATCTTAGGTCTGAAATACTTGATACTGAATCAAGTACAATATTCCATAGATCTGAGAGGAAAAAAAAAATCACATAGGTTAAAGAATAAAATTGGCCCCCTTTATAATTTACCATCTTCTATAGAAATAAATGTATCTTTACTGTATGGTATATTATCTTTATCTGGTTTTTTGAGCATCATTTTGTCTTTTGGGCACTGTCTATAGTACAACTTGTTTGGGGCGGACAATAGGCTTTTTTTCCTGAACTTATTCTACCATCTTCATCTTATAATACAAGTGAACTATAATTATACAGATTTATTCCATAGACTGCAGTTTCATGTGTGCTTTCTCTATAGTAAAAACAAAAGAAAGATGAATGGGATTAATAAATTTGCTCTGTCTTGGAGAAAGCCATTTTTTCAAGTGGCTGTATGTGTGATTTGGTAGTAATTTCATTATAGAAATGGAACTTTCATCACTATTCAATACCCCGTATTCCTCATGAGTTCTTCAGATTATCTTCCAGTTCCTACGTAATGGTAGATATTTAGTGACATCAAGATCATTTAATGATTCTACTGTATTCACTAGGGGAAAAATCTGTCTATTTTTATGAATATATCAAGAAGCAGGGTAGAGATACTGTAGTTTGAAAGAATTTGGTACATAGCATATTTATGAATGAAAAGTCAATTTTCTTGCTTTCATCTTCTCCCACATTTCAAATTTTCCCATATCATTAGGATTGCTGAGGAAAGAATTAGTGATGAATAGTCCAATCCAGTAACTACTCTGTGCTCTTATTTACTATACTATGTAACATGAAGATCCTCCAAAACACTTACTTTATTAGCTAAAACGAGGTGCCCATCATATACAAGGAGAAACTTTAATGTCATAGACAATGTCAACCCACACTACATCTTGTATTTTTGTATAGTAAGATTTACTCTCCCTGCATCTTTACTTTCAGAGTTTCTAGATGGATGGTAATGGTATTAGTGACGTTATTTCTTATACTAGGACCACATTCAAAGCCCCTGGAGCTTATAGGTTTCTCATTTTGTTTCTGATCAAGATTATAATAGGTGAGATAATTGTGGTTTCTACACTGCAACCCCCAGATTACAGAGCTGGTCGGGTCACTTTCACCCCCTCTAGTTGATATCAACTCCCTGTGACTTTTGGGAATGTCCTGGGGAGTTTGCACTCCCCCTGCCTGCAGAGTGTTGCTGTCCATAGAAATCTGTTGGGTTATTAAAGATATTGTGAAATAATGTTTTCTACAAGAAACTATTTGTTTCTTTGGATCCACATTGAAGAAATATCCGAGTATGTCTTGATGAATAACAAAACCTCACCAGAATACAGAAAGATACAAGCACTGTTGACATAGCAGGAGACCAAATTTGTAGCACTTCACCAAATGGTCTTTCATTTGCCTCGATAACAACAGATTAAACGTCAAAGACAATTTATCCTGATGCTGGTCTTTAGGGCCAGGGATTTAGCTCAGTGGTTCCTGCGCCTGCCTCACAAGCGCAAGGTCCTGAGTTCGATCCTTGATACCAAAAACCCACCCCCCAAAACAAAACAAAAAAACAAGCAAACAAAAAATAAGATATTGTTGTAGAACCATTTTGATGTGCTGATAACAGTAAAATTGTATGTAAAAATAGAGTTTTAAATATATATATGAATGCTCTTAAGAATTTTATTATTGTGAAACATTTCGTAGTCTTAATGTAATTTAAAAAGCAGGCAAATATGGAAAATTAGATTTATTTCCTCAATTCAGATTTTTTTTGTGAATCATTTTGAGGTTATGCTTTGTTGGTTCCTTATTAGTTATCTATCATAAGGTGAATTATTTTAATGTCTCATTAATTATTTTGATAAATGATTGATGTTTTTGAATAACTATTTCTAACAGTGTAAATTGACAATTTTTTTTACAATTACAGAATAACTAAATCAGCCTTATTTAAATTACACATAAGAAAATGTTTTTCTAGAATGAACTTTCTTATCTTCATTTTAAAGATACCTAGCCATTAAGAAAAAAAAATAGAATAACCTTTCTTTTTGCTTTGTTTTTCTGCATAGCTGTTAGCCTGAGATTTAGCACATTAGTTTAATTAATCCTGCTTCTTAGCCAACAGGAAAGTCCCTGTGTAACTGCTATCAGTCATCTGAGCTTCCCTTAGTTGGTGGGCTTCCTGAAAGGAAGTGTGGTTATAGAATGGCCTTTTTGAAAATAAATGAATGGCTATGTCGAACAGTTGATGAATACTGATATAGTTGTTTTTAAAAATAGAACAGAATCCAGAATTTCCAAGTATCAAAGGGCT